ATCCAGTAGCATACAAAATACAGAACATACATTAAACATACATTAAACATACATTAAACTAAAATTAAGAACCTTAACCCTAAGAATAAAATAAAAAATAAAGTAAAAGATAAAAATATAAAATTATTATATATAGAGATATAAGATATTTTAGTGTCACCAACTCATCCAAATACGTCCAGGAACCAGCTCACATTGTCTTTGGGAGTGAAAAAATTCAAATATTCTGGACGTCAATATGTGAAGAAATAAAATGATGTGACCTCTGCCCCGTAAACTGCAGACTGCACTCTGTCAGATACATCGACAGTGAGTGTCTTCTTCCTGATAACATCATATATTATTACATGAAATCTGTATTTCTGATTGTTTACTGTGTAACAAGTTAAATAGACGAGTCATTAAGAAGTTTTAATTCCCACGTTGTCCTGAGATTGTCCTGAATTCAGGATTTACAGACTCTGAAGCCGCAGTGACTGCAGCTGAGCGCAGTGTACCAGATTCAGGAAACAGTTTCTCTTGATGTTTGTGTAGAAAGCGATAACGAAGACGAAGGTTGAGGAAGATTCTCTGATATCTGATGTTTTCACTTTAGAGAAGTTGGAGGAAGAATTCATGTTTTTATAAGAAAATGGGAGAAAAACACTGAATCCTATAAGAACCTGAAGTATAAAGATCAATGTGTCTGTTGATCTTTACTGAATAATTTAAATCAATATAAAGTCAAATAATAATAATAATTTAACTCCTGTTGCTTTTAACTTTTATTATTATTATTATTTTAATTTCGTTGGAGTTTTGAATTCAGTTCAGAATTCAGTTTCAACAGGAACATAATTTAACACTAACAGTTATATTTATTTATTTATTGATCCTACATTTAAAAGAAAAATAATATCAACAAAGTGAATGAATTAATTAAAGTTCTTCCTGTAAAACCAGATAACTTAATTTAACTAAACAAAGTGTTGAAACTGATTAAATTCATTAAGTAACTTTTACATTTACTTTAACATTTTAGGTTCAAAAAGATTATTGATTAAGCTGCTTTTACTCGTTATTTTACTTGATCAAGAATGTTTCAGCTTACAAAAATTTAAATCAGTTTCAACAATGTTTTGAGTTCAATTAACTTATCTGGTTTTACAGTGTTTGTATCAAACATTACTAATGATTCATCACTGCCTCCAAAATCTAAACATCATTTTATTCTGGTTTAAATGAAGATGATATATTAATAATCACATTAATATGGTAACAACTGAACTCAGCTGCTGAGTTTATTAATATTAAATTGCACTTTTTTCAGGGTTTTTTGTACGGAATCTTTACAGATACAAATACAGATATTTACATTTATATTGAATATATTTAACATTATTTTATAAAATGACTGCTGATTATTAAAGTCTCATAATGTAAAAGCAGATATGTAAATATTTATGTATTTAATGTACATTTATTGTATGAAAACAGTTCAACAGTTTTCATTAAACTTGAATGAGATTAATGGATTTTGTTTCATTTCAAACATTTACATTTAATAAATAGTAATGTTACAGGTTATAATTCTTATTAATACTGACATTTATATTAAAGATATTTGGTTTTAATTTGAAACATCAGCTTTAAAATCAAATCACAAATTTGAATCTTGGCAACATTTAAAAATAATTAGGTTTAAAATCAGTGAACATTTTATAGAACTGATTATAATGTTTTAATTAATATTATAAACACTGATTAATCTCTGATCGATCAATTATGACATAAAACAATACAAATCTGTACCAACATCAAACATCATGTGATAAATAATAATAATAATAATAATAATAATAATATAATTACATTCATTAAGTCACATTATTGATTATAAACATGAATATTTCTGTTTCTGGCACCACTGAGCTTCTGTAAACATAAACAACAGTAACAGGTTATTGATCTGTGATTAACGACTTATTGATTATGAGAAGCAAATTAAAAATCACATTAATCAATAATCGATCGTTCATTAACTAACAGACTGTAACCGGATGTGTTAAAGAATAAAGAGATTGATCCAATATCTGCTGCAATCGGACCTGATCAGCGGATCGATATCGGTGATCAGGCGGCTCTCTGGCAGCCCAGCACCCGCTTCACGTGTCTGTAGATCTCGTTCACCTTCAGTCCGTAGACCACCGGGTTCAGCACGGTCGGAACCACGACCATCAGGACGGAGGGGAGGATGGACGCGGCGGGTTCGCTGCGCGCCTGCAGGCGACGCTGCAGCAGTTCGAACGACGTGCTGAGCGAATAATTGAAGAAGACGAGCAGGTGAGGAAGACAGGTGTGCAGCGCTTTGCTGCTGAAGGACCGCGAGCTCCGCAGGCAGACGGACAGCACGCGACCGTACGAGAACAGCACGAAGGCGGCGGGAAAGAAGACGGTGAGCGCGGCGGTGATCAGGCCGTACACTTCGCTCAGCAGCGTCGCGCCGCCGCCGCAGCTCAGGCTGACGAAACTGTACACGTCGCAGTAGATCCTGCTGAGCCGCGAGCGGCAGAGCGGCAGGCGGCTGGCCAGCAGCACCGCACCGCCCACCATCGCGGCGGGAAGCAGCCAGCAGAGCAGCAGTAGCGCCGCTACAGCGGCAGGCGTCACCAGCGCGGCGTAGCGAAGCGGGCGGCAGATGGACAGGTAGCGGTCGAAGGCCATCGCCGACAGCAGCATGAAGCTGGACCCGCCCAGAGACATCAGCACGAAGGCCTGACCCAGACACCCGGACCGGGACACCTGCACGACCCCGTGACCCGACATCAGTTCGGACAGCAGTTTGGTGTAAACCGACGTGCTCGCGGCAGCAGAGTTCAGCAGAACCGCGGCGACGAAGGCGAACATCGGTCGGTGAAGCGTCCTCTGCGAACAGATGAGATAAACGACCAGAGAGTCGGCGGACAGCACGAACACGTACAGAGACAGAAAGAGCGCGAACCACAGCGACCTGTGCTCGGACAGCTGCGCGAGACCCTCCAGCGTCAGTGACGTCACAGCAGAGGTCACGTTAAAGCCCGCTGACGTCATAATGGACAACAAGCAGGTACAGTCAGATATAAACAAATAAACATAGAATCATATAAATATATTAACAAATAAACAAATAATCATATAAATATATAAACATATGAACATATGAATATGCAGTTATACAGGCAGAGGTCAGTCAGACTCTGAACACGTGAAGACGAAGACGAAGAGCGGCTGTTTCCTCTCTGCTGCTTTTATCAGTCTGACCTTCGTCCTCTGTGGAGCTCATTAACAACAACAACAACAACAACAACAACAACAAGAGAGGACAGAGTACTTCACTTATAACATTAATTAAAGCCTCATTAACTGTTTAACAGGAGCTTTAATTAACAGAAAATAAAGTTATAAAATATTCTGTAAAAACGTTTAATGAATCCAATAACATGAAATAATCATTTAATTTAAACAGTTTCAGTTTGATTTTATTATTTAAGCTGCAAAGATAGATATTTAGATATTTAAGATATTTATTCAGTAATCAGGTGTTAAATCCTTTAAATGATGCGATGGAGTGAAACATATTAAATATTTAATATTAAATATTAAATCTGACTCATCTGAACTAATAACTGAATAATCAGGTTGGTGTTTATGGTTTTATATTTTATATTTTAGTATAAAAACAGTAAATATCACATCAGTTTCAGCCCCTGTACTTATTATTATGTTCTACTATTGATTTGAATATTTTATTGATTACTTTAATACCATACACAGCTCGTACCTTTAGATCCTCGGGCAGAGGTCAGTTGTCTGTTCCAAAGGCTTTAACTTTAATGTTCTAAAGTATCTTTTATTTTCCTAAATATTTTTCTTGTTTTATCTGCTTGAAATGTTCTTTAAATTGATGATTTTATAACTTTATTTTATCTTTTATGAAGTGCTTTGTAACATTGTTTTTTAAAGCTCTCCATAAATAAAGATTATCATTATTATTATTAAATGTCTTTAAAGCGACGAGATTGCTGAGAGCTGCTTCCTGTTTAGATAGATAAAAGGACTTTATTAATCCCCAAAGAGAAATTGGTCGTCATAGTACCCAGGTACATTTAAATACAATAAAATACAACAATACAATAAAATACAACAATAGAATAAAATACAACAATACAATAAAATACTAAGGTAGAAAAGATAAAAAAGATTAATAGGAAGATAAGGTGAAAAGAGTTGTAGTTGCAAGATGGTGGTAATAGTACTGATGATATGATGGTAGTGTTATTGTTAATACCAGTATATCATAATAACAATATATAATGGTGTGCATACATACATACATACTGTAATATATATATATATATATATATATATATAATATGTACACATATATACACGAGATATGATATGATATATAGCATATGTATAATAGATACTTGACTATACAAGAAGATATACATACAATAGATAATATCTTATATATTGT